GTTCAGCAGTGAACCACCACCACCAACCCCTGCCCTACGGAGCCGACGCCGTGGAGGTAGGTGGAGCAAGGTGGGCAAGGGTGTGAATCACGGTTACGTGGTGGCTTTCCCAACAAGTGTCAACCGCGTCAGAGAATCACAAACAACCTCCTCATGGCCTGGCCTTTTCTAGCCCCACCACCCAACAGACCAGAAGCGTTCTAAGTGTCAAGACTGCATTGCACAGCAGCCATGGGGCCCTGGCCAGGCACGCACACTTTCGGCCTCAGTCTCCTCACCTATAATGTGGGCTAAACAAGGCCGACGTGGTGGGCTGTTGGCATTAATGAGACACTAACTGGTTCTCGAATGAATGCTGCTCTCAGAACCCCTTTACACTCTGAAAAGTTGAGTTCAGACAGCTATTGTTTTTATGGATTACATCTATTGATATTTATTGTATTTTAAAACCCAGAAATCTAAAATATTTTAAAATTCATTTAAAGATAAACATATTAACTTACAAATATTTTTTATGAAAAATAACTGTATTTTCCACTAAAATATATATTCAGCAAATTTTCGCAACTCACTTCACTATCTGGCTTACTCTACTCCTGTTCCCAGTCTCCCATGAGCCCTTGCAGCATGTGGGGATGGTCACAGATGCACGTGGTTGGAAAAGGGAAGCGTGTTTTATGACCTTTCCTGCTACTGTGGAATTCTGCCCGATTCTACAGGAAAGCTGGATGGGAGGTCACCCTGCAGGTCAGTGACAAAGGCCTTTCTACTCTGCCCTGCACCTGCATGGCCTCTGACCCCCCCAGTGACTTGGGAGCACCCTTGCTGGCCACTGGAATGGCAAGTGCCTGCTCACCCCGTCAGGCAGAGCTTCCAAAGGCTGACGCACCTGACATCTGTCACCACCAAAGAGCTCGTCAGAAAATCCAGTCAGCACTGGGAAGACTTGATCAGCTTATGCTAGGGGACATGGGTTTTCTAAAATTCTAATTTTGGTGTGAATTCTCAGATTTTATCACTGGTGATGAATATTCTCAGTTATTTTCCTTGAAGCCACAGGCTCACTTTGGTCACTTTTGGGAAAACGCCTGCTAAATACCCCAGTCTGTGTAACCAGTGTGTGAGTCCTTCCTTCAAGCACCTCACACCCCTGCCAAGTTTCTTAGGAGAACGTCCTCTCCCATCACACACAGAATCACAAGAACGTGCACATGCACTCAGGGATTAGTAAACTGAGTACTCTTTGCTTGTGTACCCAGGCTGGTGCCTGCCACAGGTGTGTGGTGGTGACGACACACAGCAGCCTGGTCGCACCACTGACTCATGCTGAGGCTTCTGCGCCATTAGCGCAAGTGTCAGCACAGCCAAAAGGCGCACGATGTCCCAGTGTTACTACAGAAGTAGTCTGGCCTTGGTCGTGCAGAGGTCTTTGAGACCCCCAGGGCCCGGACTTTGAGAACCACCGATAGAGGAAGGAGCGGGACAGGCAGTCAGCTCTGCCACCCGCTCTTGTGTGTGTTGTGTGTGATGCGCCAATGGTGGGAATTCTCACATAGTGACTCTGAATTTTATGATGACGCGGGCTCCCCCTTGCCCACACCCCGAGAATGTCCCAGAGTGCACTTTCTGTCCCACTGACCACTGCATCTCTCTGAGGCGTCCCCTACCCACAAGCAGTCACCACGTAAGGCCACTTAAGAAGGAAGTGACAGGAGGTATTGCCTCCCCAGGCCCCCCACTCTGGGCCGAGTATTACCTGCGGTGACACCATTCTGAAGAGAGCCCTCATAGAAGATGTTGGATGGGAAGGCACTGAGCGCAGGATGCATCCGATACTGGACCTGGAGGCGGATGGGACGGATGCCCAGCACCACCAGGCGCTCAAAGAGCGACTGGGACAGCCCGGCCTTGGCCGCCTTCTTGCACATCACCACGGGGCCCAGCTGGCAGTGGTCGCCCACGAGGATCAGCTGTGGTGAAAGGCCCACACAGGTAAGAAGCTCAAGCATGGAACAGCCTAGACGTCCACTCAGGGGACTAAGAGGGCCAGGGTCCATACAACCACCCGGCTATGTGAATTCAAGTGGCAAGATATGGACTGGGGGCGGGAAAACTGCCCACCACATACATGGAACATGCAAACTTGCACTCAGAACCCACACAAAGGCACTCTGTGCCAAGTCCACCCTTCGAAGACCCCCTCAAAGGGCCTGCTGTGCATCCCTCTGTGCTCTGGCAGGGCATCAAACAGCACCACAGGACACTTAAAAACAAACCCCCAGCACTAAGAATTACAGAGAACTGGAACAAGAGAGAATGCACACCAATTTTCAAACAAGACTATAATGGATGGGCTGTGGCCCACCTGCTTGGCTCCAAGGACCACAGGGACCATGCACTCTGGCTCGGTGGCCTGGGTGCTCTCGTCGATTAAAATGGATCGGAACTGCATCTTGGCGAGCCTCGGGTCTCCGGCGCCCACACACGTGCAGCAGATGACATCTGCATTCTGGGAAAGAGAGTGCGCCAGGAATCAGGGCACCTGCACGGTCAATGTTCCCAGATCCCCAAAGCAGGCAGGACGGGACACAGACACCGCTCCGGTCCACGCCCTCCTCAACAACTATGGAAATAAGTGGTCCCTCCCTGACAACATCTGTCCAGGGTGCAATGACCCTAACTTTCGAGATCCTAAGTGGTTGGGCTTCACTCCTAAGAAAGAGCTTGGCGCCTTGAGACAGCCTCTGAGGGGCAGCGCTAAGCCAAGGACACCATGCTCAGGCTGAGATCCACTTTTGGTTGGTTCATCAGCAAAGAGCAGGAGACGGCGCTCCAGACCTGCCCCCTGCCCCACCGCGGGTACAGACCAGGTTCCCAAGATCCCAGCAGCAGGGAGGCTGGCGGGAAGTGGAATCTACCTCAACAAGATGTCTCTGTGTGATCTCAGAAAAAGCATACAGAGGAGGGTATCAGAGTTCTCTCCTCAAATGCAACAGAACAAACTAACTAAAGGTGCCATCGTGGACTTAACGTATCCAAGCAGGTCCTTTGGCCCAAGTGAACAAGACAAACGCCCAAAGGCACAGGCCAGTTCCCCAGGCAGCAGGGCAGGTGAGTTCACCATAAGCAGCTCCCGCTCGGCAGTGCGCTTCAGGGCCCGGTACCGCTTTTCGTCCGCAGACGACAGCTCGCCAGTCTCATCCTTCAGCTGCTGCAGCTTCTGGAGCTCCGGCATGCTGCAGACACAGGGGCACATGAGAGGGAGGCGTGTGCCGCCAGGGCCTGCCCAGGGGAGACACACCTCGCTTAAGGCCGGCTACCCGACACCCACCTGTCCATGTTCCTGATCTGGTTGTGCAGGGCCAAGAACGACACCGGGGAATCGATGGCCTCTCGGCTCTTGGCACAGAGCCGCACGACTTTCAGCCCAGTCTGGTGGATCTTCTCAGTCAGCTGATCCACGGCTATGTTGCTTGGAGCACAGACAAGCACGGGCCTTCAACACAGTGTGAGCAAATGTCAGTGCTCGCCCAGAGAAAGTCTAATTAGCCAACACTGTTGTTTTGAATCATAGGCAGTAGAGCCAGCTCAAGCTCTAAGACGAAAACCAGGAGTGACACGATGCTGAAGGAGCTAAGAGCCAGATGGTCTGGAGCTTCCTGATCTTCACTCTACTCATGCAACCCACCGCTAACACTCGAGTCCAAAATCCTCACCTCCCGTTTGCACTGTAAAGTCTCTCAAAGCTCCAAGGTGCACGCAGGCACAACACAACCCAGGATGAACCTACCCACTACGGCCTTTACAAGAATGGCAGGTTTGCTTGTTAAAAGCAACCACAAAGGCCAGATCTAATACAAACGGCATAGAATGCAGCATGCCAGACACCCTGGGCCCCAAAGCCTCCTGGAAGACAGGCCTCCCTCTCTCCCCCACTTGGGCTGTGCAGAGCCCTACCCATTGCCTTGCCGAGCCAGGTGGTAGACAATGGTGGCTGAGGTCACCGTCTTTCCTGTGCCCGGTGGGCCCTGGATCAGACTCAGTGGTCTCTGCAGCACAGTCTTCACGGCGTAAACCTTCAGATACAAGTGGCCGTTAGGGGTGTAGACACGGCGGAGGGCCGCCCACCAGGCAGGCTCTGCAGTCTGGGACCCTCCTGCCCCCGGGGTGGGTGAGAACCTGAGAGTGGTTGAGGTCAGGGAGCCCCTGCGCCGTGAAGCGCTTGGGCAGCTGGCACTTGATGATCACATCCTCCACTTCGTGGCCGAGAAGTTTGTGGTAGATGTAGCCCGACACGGAGGTCTCGTCCACAGCAAAGGTTTTCAACGCACTCTGCATCCTGAAGGGAAAGCTCCAGGTCAGTGGCACGCACCACCGTGGAGCTGCTGTGCAGACCTGCCCCTCTGTGACGAGGAGAAGCACGGAGACGCCGGAGGCAGCAGGCACGCCAACGGCAGGTGACCGCCAAGTAGATGCAGGGAAGCGGAGGCTGGGAAGGAGGCAGACATACCTGTCGAATGAGGTTGACTTCCACACGAAATCCACCTGGAAGTTGTGAGTCACCTCCACGGGTGCACCCACACTGCTCCGAAGCTCAATAGCGATCTCATCGCCATAATCTATGCCGCCGAGTTAAGTCTCATCCTGGTCAAAAGCCTTTCTGAGGAGACCTCACTCTGTTACTGAAGAGACAGACCCTCCTCTGCACCAAAGACAGAAAACGCAGCCAGAGACCCATGTTCTCAGTGACAGATTCTGCCCACCATGTGCGGGGCCAGCGCAGCCAGCACTGTCCTCCTCCTCGTGAGCCCTGGGGCAGCAGCCAGCAGCCAGCAGCCAGCACGGAGCAGCCAAGCCCAGGGCCCAAGTTCCAGGCCCTGACTGTGAATTTCCGCAGAGCCCTCAGGCACATAGCTCGGAGCACCCTGGCTTCTGCCTAAGCAGCTCTCTTCATCAGTTTTATAGAAACGGTGCCCCCTCAGGACACCTGAAGAAAGGGAGTTGCAGCCGCAGCTGTACACACCCTTTCCTCCACCTGAGGCCCCGAGGCTGCTCTCAGCAGTGACCCCCACGGGTCACTCAGGACGAGCTCAGGACAAGCTCGTCAGAGACTTGGGCAGACAGTGCCTGTGCCAGCCCTTCTTTACACAAAGGATACTATCAGGGACCTTGATGACGTGGCCGATCCCTTTCCATAGGGGCGCCAGGTCCCCTTTGTACCGCAGGCATATCTCATCCCCTTGCATGAGCCGCATGTCTTACAGGGAAAAGACAGCAAGAAAGTTAGAGTTTTCACATGTGCCACAGACGCTACCATGAAGAGTTCAAATTAAGGGACACTTTACAAGGGTGAAACTAGGAATTTTATGCTACTTATGGTCACAAATATTTTAAAACTTAAAATCACCTCTTAACCAAATTATGACTAAATCCTCATTACCAGAGTCAGTCTTGGGCAAAGTGAAGTAGGCGATTCTCTTCTTGTTAAGGCCCAGGTCCCACCTGACCGTGATGTTATCTTGAGTCTGAGCACATAAAAAATAAGAGCCCTGTTAGCCTGCAACACAGACACAGGCCTGGACTCCTTGTGACTGCGTTTCCACAGGTGCGTGCCCTATGGCGAGCAGCACCGGACAGCCTGAAACACCAACAAGGGCACATCCAAGAGAGAAGTCATTAGGACCCCGAAACCTGCGCAGGACGACCAGGAGACCCCCACATGATGTCTGCTCTTGGAGGCGGCTTCTCTGTGGGCTGCGGAGGGAGAGAAGGAAGCCGACGGCCGAGGACACATCTCGTGAGTCTCAGGGCTCCTGCTTCCTATGCACAGTCTCCAAGGAACGGGCACAAGGAGTGTCCTCAGTGTGCTGTGGGCTCCTGAGGTCTGACTCTCATGGCTGTGGCAAAGGCTACAAACCCAACTGTAAGGAATTTTTGTTGGATTTAAAATCAGAAAACACCCAGGCGGGTGTCTGGCTTTGAGTGATGGGGCGTCTGCCCACAGGCCTGTCCTCAATCCACGGTTCTGTCTCTCAGGGGCTGGGCCTCGGCCCACGTCAGCATTTGCAGTCTGCAGAGAAAACCACCCTCCCCAGACCTTAGGAGAGATGCTTTGTTAAAATGACCAAACCCTCCTGCACACACATCACCTGCGACTCTTTCAGTTTCTTATCGTAGTCAGCCTCCAGCTTGACCAGAGGACCGAAAATGTTCTGGTACTGGTAGGCATCCTCATACCGCAGGAGGACATGCTGCGGCTCCTCATCCACTCCCGGCTTCTCGAGGTCCTCCAAGGTGGCAGAAGGATTTTCCTAGAGGACAAGAACGGCACCACGTTCTTCCCTGTTCTCACCTCTAAAATGAACTATATGCGAGCTCCCCAGTCAACAGAGGCACAGTCACACCCACCATTTCTCAGAACGAGCTGATGTTGGGCTGATGCGGAGAAGGGCACCCGGTGGTCGGTGGTGTCCACTCCATAAGGAGAGCCCTCATATCAGGAAGTCCACGTGGCACACAAAGGTGGACACCCCAGGTACACAGCCCTGACACACCTATACCATCAGATGGCTGCATTCTCCAACAAAGGCCTAACCCCTGACCTGGGAGAGATTACACTTCTTCCTGGCTGCCAGAAAGATTACTGGCTTCCCTGGCTGTGTAAACAGAAAGGAAGGCCCACCTCCCCATTTCCTCCTGATCCTATGCTGCACCAACAGGAGCAACGCACACGTCCTTGGCAGGGACAAAACAGTATGTGGGCTGTCTGGATACAAACAGGAACAGTGAAATAATTGTGGCAACTTGAAAATCAAGGTGGAAAGATTCCTTGCTGGACTGTCCTTCAAAAATATTTTGACTTGCACTTGAAGATAAATTCACATCTTTGACTATATGGGTGCCTAATTAAAATTTCTAGCCTAGTTACTACAACTTTATCATAAAATATAAACAGCCAGAACCAGAGATGGGCTTCCCTGGAGAAACGGTCTGTGGGCAGGGCAGGAATCCTGCGCGCCCCCAGCCTGGTGTCGGTCGCCCTGGCTCCGATGCGTCACAGGCCCGACCAGGTTTTATGGAGTACACCTGCAGTCCTGTCTGTCTACTCAGGCCCGGCTCTTCCTGACATGTCCACACACAGTCACCAATGGCCAGTTCCCAACCACTTCCTTCCCACCACCTACCCTTGCCCTCAGCAAGAGAAAAATTCCAACAGCCGGAGCTTTCCTTTCCCAGAGGCCTGGCGGGAGGTACCCGTGGCGCCCTCGGTCCTGCTTCCAGAAGGAGCTCGAGGGGCCACTCCAGGTAGAGGCTGCAGAGTCCCCCTCGAGCTCCTTCCGGAACCTCCTGTTTCTGAGACACCACCCCCAGCTCCCCTCTCCACCCCCCCCAACACTTGGTGCTGAGATGGGTGTGCATTCCCAGCAGGCCCTCACCTTCCAGAGCTCCTCCAGCTTGTTGATCTGCTGGGCGGTGATCTGCCGCGCCCGCAGCTGCTCCTGCTCAGAAGGGATCTTGACCAGCCAGGACAGGAAGCAACGGTCCTGGATCAGGGGCTGCCACTGCGAGCTGTCCCAGTTAATGTCCTTGAGGCTGCTCTGACTGGCACAGGGCTGCCTGCAGAAGCCCCAAGGGCGGGGAGAGCCCAGGTGAGGATGAACTCTAGCCCCCCCAAAGGCTTACTGCCTTTAATCTCAAAGGGGCGTCTTCCCTACATTTTACTGTATGAGCACATTACCTTTAAATTGTTAGGAATAAATTGCTTGTCCCCACACACTTGAGCTCTGAACTCTTAAAACTCAGAAGAGACTTTGCTTTTACAGAATTGTTTTCATGATTTAACCAGAACACACCCCAAAAGGGTTACTTAACATTCCCAGCTCTCTAACAAGCCCCAGCCCCCCGAACCTCCTTACACCTCGTCAGTCGGCAGAAACTATTTTAAAGCTCCACGGAGTCAGAGCCATGGAGTGGCTGAGTCTTTGGGGAAGATGACTGGGGCTGAAAGGCAGTCCCCCAGGGAAATCGCGGCCCCGCCCTCACCTGCATAGCAGCACCACAACCGAGTCAGCCTTCGCAGGGATGAAGCCGAGGAGGAAGACGTTGCGGCAGCCGCAGTTATAACACTCCAGAACCGTCTCCCCCAGGGGCCCATCCTTGTGCAGAGTCACCTCTTTGCATTTTGCCCTCACGAGGTGATTTACAATGTGGCTGAAACCAGGAAATGATAAATAGTTAACACCCAAAGTTTGGCTTTTCACCACTTCCAATTTTCGAGCTCCGTTAAAAGTTCCGGTACCGTTCACGGTCCATTAGCAGGAGTGGTCACACCTCATCCATCTGGCATCCCGGGGGACCAGCCCGCCCCTGAACTGGCTCCCCACGGAGCACAAAAATCAATCCGACTTGAACCATTTTTAAGGAAAACTTTCCTAACACGTTTCACACAGTTCCTGCTTTTTTCTCTCCCCCCCAGTTCCCGCTTTCTTAAATCCAACTTATTGGAGCTAAGTGAATCTAACGCTGGGGCCAAGGCTGCTGTCCTGGAGAGGCAGGAGGCTCGCCCCTTTCACTGCTCCTCTTTGCTCGTTGTAGTTTCTCTCCTGCTCCTTTCAAAGTCACTTCTCATGGCCCCTGTGCCTGCTTCCAGGCACCCCTCCTCATTTGCTGCAGGCCAGGAAACCCGATAACCAAATGTATTTGAAACCTGAGGACAGTAAAAAAATACCGAGTAGTGGGGCTCAGGGCTACTCTCCGGAAGCACAGGGCCAGCCCTGAATGGTCTGAAAGCCCCGCCGCCTCAGCTCTTTCCTTGCTGCGCGTGGCCAGGGCTCTGACGCCTTTCTCATTTCCGGGACACGGCTCACCTAAACCAGGGCCTGAGTGCCCCAGCCACAGAACTCTACCCTCCGCCACGCCAGCCTCATTCAGGGCCCACGGGTGGTGCACGGTTCTGCCTCAAGCCCTCCCAGCCCCCGCAGCGATCTGCAGCCTGGCTGCAGGTTTGTCACACGCTGAGCATGCCTGCCAAGCCTCCAGCCTTCCCTGCTGCTGCCCTCACTTCACCTTGGGAAACCCCTCCTGTTCAAGCTTTGGCTCAGATGCCAACATCCTAATCCTCTCTGGCCCCACGAAGACTGTCAGATTACCTAACTAATCATGACTGCTCTCCGTACTTCCAAAGCCACCCCCTCCCCCCACCCCTGGGCCTTCTACCAGGATCAGTGATTTCCTCTTGTCTTTTCTAGGCCCACCTCACTCCATTACACTGGCAGCTTCTTGAAGGCGAGTGGCTGTCCCATCACCTTCACAGTCTGACCTTGCACAGAACACACAATCTGGCGGGCGGAGTCTGTTTTCTCTTAGAGGCCCTCCGCTCACTTCCCTGATCTTGGCTCTGCTGACTGGAAGCTGGGGTTGCCAGCCAAGGCAAGTTTTATTTAACTGCTTTTCCTGCAGGAGAGGAACTAATGCGAACACGGTAACACTTATAATTACCCAGAAAGTTCGGAAAATGGTATACCAGTCTCTTCTGGTTATCCTGAAGATGCTTTTCCCTTCAAATCTCTAAAAAACATCAGCTCCCTTTCTTGCCTCACTCAGAACCCCACAATTCGCATTACTAACTCCAAGGTGACACGAGATCTGACCATTCTGTGTCCTCAGCCACAGCTGCCAAAGGCACAGGAAGGGTACAGGCTCTGTGCAAATAAAGCTGCCTACGGAATTCTGTCACTTTATTTCTATAAAACATGAACCTCAGAGGAAGATGCCGCTTTCTTGCAGGCAACCTGGATCCCTGCCCCACGGAGACTCTGCTCTGCTTCCCTGTGGTAATGGAGTGAGTCGCTGCACATCAATGGCAGCCTTGGAGGAGCCACCAAGACCAGACCCATGCCAGTGGTGGAGGCTGAGGAGTCTCACCACTCGAGCTTAGCCAAACGGACTCTCCCCTGGAATCCAAGCACCCTCACAATGCGGGTCTCACCCCAGACACAAAACAAGGGACCTAGTCACAGCTGCTGCTGATCAACAGCAGGAAGGGAAGCCCAGAGCCGACGGTCAAGTGAACTTAATTTAATCTGATGATTCAGGATCTGGCCCATATTAGCCTCAGGACTTGCTCTGATGAGCTAAGGCCAGAGGGAGCCTTCTCAGGAAGCGGCTCCCATGGATGCCCATTACTGTCTTGGGAACATCCTCCCCAGGCACCCAGTAATGAAGATGAACGGGCGTGCCAGGAGCTCATCTTGCAGAAAAATATAAATAAAAACTGGGAAAGAGAATTAAGCCAACCCTACTTGCATAATAAAAAGAACCACAGAGAATAAATCAAGGGTAAATACATTAAGGCATTCACACACCACCATCTGTTTCAAGTTAAACCAGTCACAGAGGAGGGAAAAAACCAGGTTTGTTAGCGTGATTTTATATTGTGCTTCGCTTCAACATTTCCATAATTTACACACAAATCTGAGCACAGCACTGATTAAAGACACATGCGCGGCTTGATTATCTACCTGCCAGAAGTATTTCCACGTCCATTACAGAACCACTTCTTGCTGGTATTACAGTAAACCACGCAAGCAGGATCGTGTATTCCGCAGTAACTAAAAAAGTCAAAACATCAACAGTTAAAGCTAGAAGACCACTCTCTGGTTTTAATTTGGCAGGATGTAAAATTCTTTCCTCTTACAACATTTTTAAGTTTTTCATTAAACACATACTCAAACCAACGATCCCACTAGCAAAATCCAATCAGTTAACTGCAGAGGCTTCCTGACCCTGTGAACGCAGGGAAGGGTTTAGGGGTGCTGTGGAGACTCCTCAGACAGCAGCAAAGCCCCTTGCAGGGTGAGGTGGGGGCGGGTGGTGAGAGCAGTGCAAGGTGCCAGGTGAGCCCAACAACGGAGTCCTAAAACCCCCAAGGTGACCTAGTCACTCCCCTTGGCCTCAAGTTTCAGGAACCGTGACTTATAAGCAGAGAAATCGGCATCCCTAGCTCTGGGCACACAGAAGGTAAGCTGAGACCACGCTGCGTTCACAGTGCCTCCCATGCTCCAGCAGAGGGCGCCCTGCTCCTGGGAACACTCACCTCAACCCAGCAGCGGAGGGTCCTGGGGTACAGACTGAGCTCAGCTCACAAGGAGCACCTAGGGAGAGCCCCCTGGCCTCCCTTTTCTGAAAATCAACACACCAAAAACAAAAATATTGGCTCTCCACAGAGTTCTGTATGTGGATGAAGCCAAGACTCAAGTCTCAAACGAGAATGTCCTCTGGCCAAGAACCTTCCCTGCAACGCCTCACGCCAGGGGGCTCTCCCTGTTCCACTCCCCACGGACGGCAGGAGTGCGAGGGGGTGTGCAGACTTTAACGACCTGCAGCTTCACCAGGACCACTTCACAGGCACATTTGGTACATAACAGGAACGCGAATACATATGTAAAAATGTACTGTAAATGAGAGTGAACAAAGAGCCAACAAAGTAAAAAAGTGTGCCCACCAAGCAGGGAAAAGAGCGGCCCTCTGTCCTGTGATGGCTGCAGACCTCAGAGGGGCAGCGTGCCCAGGGGGCAGGCAGAGCTGAGTAGAGGCCCAGGCCCACTGCCCTGCCTGGCGGGGTGCCCTGAGCAAGATCATTTCACCTCTTTTGGTCTCAATTTCCTCATGTGCGTGTAACAAAAAAGCAAGAGTAAGTCCAAACACAAGGGGTGGGTCCTCCTCTAGATAAGAATTCCAAATTTGGTCAACACGCAGGTCTAGCCACTGACTACTCACTTCCAATTTTTCAGGAATCTTCAATGCAACGAGGAGGCAGATGTTTTAAAGAAGCCTACAGTAATCTCTTTGTAAGAGAAATCTTAGCTGCTCTATTCACCCTCCAAATGCTCACCCCATGTGATGAGTTCTTTCTGATAAGTGAGTGGGGCAGGTACCGGGTAACAACCCAAGGGCCTGAGGAAGGCAGAGAAGGGGAACCTTTCCCCCTCCAGCTGGGAGAATCAGGGATGACAGAGGGTGCTGATCCCATTCGCCTGCCCAGTAATAAGGACTTATGTGTGTACAAAGGCTTGAGCAACCTCCTTATTCCCAAGGACAGTGTTTCCAAGTGTCACAGTCCATGGTCTTAGAGAGGCCTCTGTAAAGTCAGCAAATGCATACAGAATGTGGATGCCCTGGGGGGCGAGTCCTCTCCTCCGCTGAAGGTGCTCACCTGCAGGCATGTATGGGGAGATCCTTCGTGTAATAGGTATCTTCCTCATCTTCTTCGAAGTTCAACTCGGCCAACAACTGGCTAGTCTTGGCCACGCTGTCATCCACGGCCCCGTTCTGCAGGATGCCCTCAGGTCCACCGACCTATGGCAGAAGGCAGCGTCACCGTGAAAGACTGCAGCTTCCGGGCCTCAGCCCAGGCACGTGGCTTCTCCCCATACGAGCAGTCATGGCAACCTTCCCATGAAGCACTGGCCTGCTCTCTACTGTGCAACAGTTCAGCGTCTTCTGATTTAACTTTTCATACTCTCCTCTTCCCTATCAAACCTACCTGGCCAAAAACAGGGCACAGGTGGCTGAGGTCATCCGCCCTGCCACCTGCACACCCAGGCCCAACCCCATCTAGCCATAGCGCCATGACTACAAGCAGGAAGCTGAGGGCCACAAGAAGCAAGATGACTTTTTACAAACCAGATATGGTCCCCCCCTGTGGACAGCTGCACAAGGGTCCTCCTCCTTCAAAGCCTAAGCACCAGAAGTAAAGGTTGTGACCCCTGCAGATGTGGGAATGCAGTTCTCTCGTTAGTCCACATACTTCCTTCACTGTCAGTTCCCCTCTCCAGAAGGCAGCCCTTCTTAATTATGAATTAGAAATTGAATGTTAGGATAATCTTCCAGTTTCAGGACACAATCTTACTAAATGTACACTTTATATGTCATAACAGCAAAAACATACAAATAGGCAACTTTAAATAACTAAGCGATGAATTTCACAGGCAACTCTGCTGAGCTCACACATCCATTCACGAGTGCACAGACTCAGCTTGTCCGAGGGAAACAGGTGCTCCTAATGCTGCCCCCCTAGGAACTGCCTCCTCAGACAGCAGCCAACAGTCCCCATCATGGTCCCCACGGGCCACAGCCCACACAAGGCTGGGTCAAGCAGTGGAAGCATCATGTGTTGAAAGACGGGAAGGAGTGACAGGAGCCCCAGGGCAGGCACCAGGTTTCTCTGAGCTGTGAGACGGGATCAGACACTGGCCTGCCACGCAGAGCTGGGAAACCAAAACTCACACCCACACCATGTGGGGTCGGCTCAGGCCAGTCCCTGTCCACTGCTCCAGTCACCTATATGGGCCTAAGGACAACGGGTCTCCTGAGGTGGGGGGCATCCCAGAAACTCTAAAGGTGCATTCGGGTTGTCAAGGAAGCCAAGAACCCATTACAGGAACACGTGTCTCTGTAATGGTCTCAGCCAGATCAGAACCCCATTTCACTGTGTCTGCCACCACTTTAATATACTATCTTTTTTTCTTAAGATTTTTTTGATGTGGACCATTTTTAAAGTCTTTATTGAATTTGTTACAATATTGCTTCTGTTTTATGTTCTGTTTTTTTGGCCACCAGGCATGTGGGATCTTAGCTCCCCAACAAGGGATCAAGCCCACACCCTCTGCATTGGAAGGTGAAGTCTCAACCACTGGACCAGCAGGGAAGTCCCAACATTTTTTCAGAAGGCAACAATCAGGTTAAATGCAAGAAGACTGTATGCTTTGTTTGGGGGAAGTTTTTTTTTTTTTTAATGAAAAATCAGTATCAACTTTTGGATTTTAATGTAATGAAGACAGTATTATTAACATCATCACAAGCACCTCTTTGTAAATCCCTGATCTCCTTTTTAAAAAAATTGTAAGTGGTTCTGTGGTGTTAAGTACATTCACATGGTTGTGCAACCACTACCACCATCCATCTCCAGAACTTTCTCATCTTCTCAAACTGAAACTGTCCATTCCCCCTCACTCAGCCCCTGGCAACCTCCATTCTACTTTCTGTTTCTATGAATTTGACTACTGTAGGGACCTCACATAAGTGGAATCATACGGCATTTGCCCTTTTGTGACTGACTTATTTCACTTAGCATAATGTGCTCAAGGTTCATCTATGTCCTAACTGTGTCAGAATTTCCTCCCTTTTTAAGGCTGAATAATATTCCATTGTATGGACACACAACATTTTGTTTATCCGTTCATCAGTCAGTGAATACTTGGGTTGCTTCCACCTTCTGGCTGCTGTGAATGATGTTGCTATGAACATGGAGTACGAGTATCTCTTCAAGCCCCTGTTTTCAATTCTTTGGGGTATATACCCAGAAGTGAAGTTGCTGAATCATATAATTATTCTACGTTTAACTTTTTGAGGAATTGCCATACTGTTTTCCACAGCAGCTACACTATTTTATATTCCCACCCACCAGTAATGCACAAGGGTCCTAATTTCTCTACATCCTTGCCAACATTTGTGACTTTTCTGTTGGCTGTTGATAGTAGCCATCCTAATGGGTGTGAGGTGGTATCTCACTGTGGTTTTGATTGACACAACCTGGATTATAATGATGCTAAATATCTTTTCCTATGCCTGTTGGCTATTTGTGTATCTTCTTTGGAGAAAGGTCGAGTCAAGTACTTTGCCCATTTTTAATCAGGTTGTTAAATTTTTTTGTTGTGCTTTGTTTGAAAAAATTTTAAACATTTATTTATTTATTTAGGCTGCACTCGGTCTTAGTTGCGGCACGTGGGCATGTGGGATCCTTAGCTGCGGCAAGCAGACTTCTTAGCTACAGAATGCGGACTTCTTAGTTGCAGCATGCGGGCAGACTCTGGAGTGACAGGAGCCCCAGGGCAGGCACCAGGTTTCTCTGAGCTGTGAGACGGGATCAGACACTGGCCTGCCACGCAGAGCTGGGAAACCAAAACTCACACCCACACCATGTGGGGTCGGCTCAGGCCAGTCCCTGTCCACTGCTCCAGTCACCTATATGGGCCTAAGGACAACGGGTCTCCTGAGGTGGGGGGCATCCCAGAAACTCTAAAGGTGCATTCGGGTTGTCAAGGAAGCCAAGAACCCATTACAGGAACACGTGTCTCTGTAATGGTCTCAGCCAGATCAGAACCCCATTTCACTGTGTCTGCCACCACTTTAATATACTATCTTTTTTTCTTAAGATTTTTTTGATGTGGACCATTTTTAAAGTCTTTATTGAATTTGTTACAATATTGCTTCTGTTTTATGTTCTGTTTTTTTGGCCACCAGGCATGTGGGATCTTAGCTCCCCAACAAGGGATCAAGCCCACACCCTCTGCATTGGAAGGTGAAGTCTCAACCACTGGACCAGCAGGGAAGTCCCAACATTTTTTCAGAAGGCAACAATCAGGTTAAATGCAAGAAGACTGTATGCTTTGTTTGGGGGAAGTTTTTTTTTTTTTTAATGAAAAATCAGTATCAACTTTTGGATTTTAATGTAATGAAGACAGTATTATTAACATCATCACAAGCACCTCTTTGTAAATCCCTGATCTCCTTTTTAAAAAAATTGTAAGTGGTTCTGTGGTGTTAAGTACATTCACATGGTTGTGCAACCACTACCACCATCCATCTCCAGAACTTTCTCATCTTCTCAAACTGAAACTGTCCATTCCCCCTCACTCAGCCCCTGGCAACCTCCATTCTACTTTCTGTTTCTATGAATTTGACTACTGTAGGGACCTCACATAAGTGGAATCATACGGCATTTGCCCTTTTGTGACTGACTTATTTCACTTAGCATAATGTGCTCAAGGTTCATCTATGTCCTAACTGTGTCAGAATTTCCTCCCTTTTTAAGGCTGAATAATATTCCATTGTATGGACACACAACATTTTGTTTATCCGTTCATCAGTCAGTGAATACTTGGGTTGCTTCCACCTTCTGGCTGCTGTGAATGATGTTGCTATGAACATGGAGTACGAGTATCTCTTCAAGCCCCTGTTTTCAATTCTTTGGGGTATATACCCAGAAGTGAAGTTGCTGAATCATATAATTATTCTACGTTTAACTTTTTGAGGAATTGCCATACTGTTTTCCACAGCAGCTACACTATTTTATATTCCCACCCACCAGTAATGCACAAGGGTCCTAATTTCTCTACATCCTTGCCAACATTTGTGACTTTTCTGTTGGCTGTTGATAGTAGCCATCCTAATGGGTGTGAGGTGGTATCTCACTGTGGTTTTGATTGACACAACCTGGATTATAATGATGCTAAATATCTTTTCCTATGCCTGTTGGCTATTTGTGTATCTTCTTTGGAGAAAGGTCGAGTCAAGTACTTTGCCCATTTTTAATCAGGTTGTTAAATTTTTTTGTTGTGCTTTGTTTGAAAAAATTTTAAACATTTATTTATTTATTTAGGCTGCACTCGGTCTTAGTTGCGGCACGTGGGCATGTGGGATCCTTAGCTGCGGCAAGCAGACTTCTTAGCTACAGAATGCGGACTTCTTAGTTGCAGCATGCGGGCAGACTCTTAGTTCCCTGACCAGGGATCGAACCTGGGCCCCCTGCATTGGGAGCATGGAGTCTTACCCACTGGACCACCAGGGAAGTCCCCTTTGTTTGAAATTTTGATAGCAAGTTACTACTTCAAAAAGTTACCTCTCCTTTTGGCAACACTTCTCCTGACACATGCAGCGGCAATGCTGGGATGAGGCTGCCGACAAGGGACCAAGACACCTCTCAGTGTGACTGCCTCAGCACACACATGTTTGTTTTCTGAAAGTGTGTGGCCAGATTATGGTACCTGGATTTCACTTCATGGCAGTGAAAAAGCCACATATATCACGCTACAGGGGAGGGCTGAGAGGGTGTGGGCCACAATCTCAGGCTCAGAATGTTATTTACGTTTTTAAATGGTTGGATTAAATACCTAATAGTAGGTATTTGCTTCTTGTCCCACAAAGCCTAGAACATTTACTACCTAGCACTTTAAGGAAATGCTTGCTGACATTTCTCCAAAGAAGACATACAGATGGTCAACAGGTACATGACAAAATGCTCAATATTGCTAATTATTAGAGAAATGCAAGCCAAAACTATGAGGTATCACCTCACACCAGTCAGAACGGCCATGATTAAAATGTCTACAAACAATAAATGCTGGAGAGGGTGTGGAGAAAAAGGAACTCTCCTTTGCTGTTGGTGGGAATGTAAATTGGTACAGCCACTATGGAGAACAGTATGGAGGTTCCTCAAGAAACTAAAAATAGGGCTTCCCTGGTGGCGCAGTGGTTGAGAGTCCGCCTGCTGATGCAGGGGACATGGGTTCGTGCCC